TCCATCCTTAATGGACAACTCTTAGTTACCATTACCAACTAATACACACTAACTGGGGTAAATCTACTCTACAGGTATAAATGAGCTTTTCGATCATAGTTTACGAGGACATCTAGTGGTTTCTTTCCTCCATGTTCAAGTGAAAGGACGAAGCTTCTCCATAGAACAAAAGGGCTTTATTCCACAATATAAACTTGTAACATCTTCAGCTACCCCCGAAAATCCCCCCCCCCGAAACATCTCACCCGTGCACCTCCTCCTTCAACCTCCCTCCCTCCCCCCACAGAATCTCCTGCCAGGATCAAGCTGTAAATCCTACTCTGTGTAGCTTCTAGTCACCCCCCCCTCCACCACCTCGCCCCAAACACACCGCCACAACTCCAGCTGAGGAGTCAGCATTTAAGTCAATTCAGACGAAAACTTGCATTCCTCACCTATTACCACCACTATCTACAAAAAAAGAGGAATAACTTAGATAGACTCAAGATGCATGGCTACCTACGACTCGGAATTCTTTAAAGAAACAAGTCATTTTTTCTCGGGGATAGAGGATGCAACCCTTGAATCTGTCCCCTTAGTTCTGCTTTACACATGCACGGGGTTCAGGCGAACATAATATTAATCCACCTCGCACTTAACTCTTATTAACCGACGTGCATCATGTTTCTTACAGGCCTCTTCCCTGGTCTGATCGGCTGAGATCGGAATCCACTGCACGCACCCCTTCCATCCTCGCCGTGTTTCTCTCTGTTTTGTTTTTGCTTTCTGTTTTTTCTCATCTTAGACACCACATAACACCTCTCTGCACGACGCCAGGAAATACTCATACTTCCCACTCACTAATACTCGCTATCGCGCGCGCCCCTAACAACAGTCACAAAAACATCAATAACATTATAGTCTGGACAAACAAGTCGAAGAGGCGAGGCACGTCTGTTCCACCAACAGGCGCTCGCCACAACCGGCACGGGGCGCGCGGTTACGGAGGAGGGGGAGGTACAGACTCAGGACACACTCAACTTGCTGGCTCCATTAACACACGGACCCGACCCATCCTGTCAGAAAATCCCCCGTCCTTCACCTTCTCCCCAGTGTGTCGCATCCTTCCGTGCCTCAACCATGACACCCCACAACCCGGTCCACAGTCTCCCTTCTTCCGCACTCCCCTCGCTAAACAATCAGACGAAAAAGAAACATAATAAAAGATCGCAATAGAAGAGAAAGAAGAAAAGAAGAGGACAACAAAAAGAAAAGACAATCTCTCTCAAAAACAAAAGAAAAAAAAGAGAGATATAAAGAATATACTGTATGTCTGTCTGTCTGTCAGTCTGTCTGGCACTATGCACCTGCCACTGAGATAGAAAAAAAAAAGAAGAAGTAAATGGAAAGTTAAATAACACGAAAAGAGAGAATAATTAAAAAAATAGAGAAAGCAAAATAAAAAAAGGGAAAAAAATATTAATAAGATCAAATAACATAGATAAAATATATAATAATAGAAAGATATAGATAATCAAATACACAACATAAAAAAAAAAAAAAAAGAGAAAGAAAAATTCTGATACAAAAACGGATAGCATCATCTTCCTCCTTTGACTTGTTTCAGAACTAATACCGTAATCTAGTTAAAAAATATATATATATATATCAATAATACTAAAAAAAAATATTATTACCACTACCTTTCTTTTCTTATGAATTCGTTTGTGTTGTCTAAAGACACAAAAAAACAAACAAAAAGAAAAAAAACACAGGATGTGAAGTGTGCTCGCATGCGACTTCCATTACTCGACCAAGAAGGAGGTCTTCCAACATGATACACTCGGTGAACCAAGAGGTACCTCGAGGGTTAATATTATGTCTCTGGAACCTCCTTGCATCGTAGACCAGAGCTAAGCGGAACGGACGTCAAGGTTTTCATCCACTATCCCTGACCAACAAAAATGACTTCTGCTGTTCCTTTAAAAATCCATGTTCTAGTACTCATCCGCAGCTGTGATCCATTCATACCCTTACCTTTTTTTCTTTGTAGAATAGGTTTTATTTATCTGATCTGACACCTAATTTTCGTCTGAATCAGACTAAATGGCTTATCTCAAGCTGAGTTTGTTTGTGCCTCTCTAGCGATGGTGTATGTACAGAAAGCTTACACAGATGGCGGATTAACCAGCTTGTACCTGGCAGAAGATATGTGGGGGGAGGAGGGACGGGAGGCGAACGGAGGGACGGGGAGGTTTTTCGGGGGGGGGGGGTTTCGAGGGTAGCTGAGATGTTCTTACAAAGTTTATAAATTAAGTGGCAAATAAAAGCCTTTAATGTCTCATGCGCACGAAGCCTTCGTCCTTCTCACTTGAACACTGGAGAGAAAGGAAACACTCAGCAAGGGTCCAGATCGTAAAATCATGATCGAAAAGCACTCATCTTATCAACCTTGTAAGTATTACCCCAGTTAACTGTCGAGTACTTAGCGCATGGACTAGGTAACTAAAGAGTCTGTCCATATAACGGATGGAGTCGCCCCGTGCTTGCTAGAGACCTATTGGATCTTCTCTCCTCGCTGGTGTCCGATTGACGGTAGCCAGAGATTTAGTGTAACACAGTTCTACAAAAGCAGTTGAGTCTTCAGGTTCACACTATGAATGCGATAAGTCTTCCTTATGCCCGTACAATTTAACAGAGCTACTAACAAGATTCATAAGTTCAAGAGACCTTCTTCCTCTGGTCCCGCGAGGAGCAATTGGTCTATCGCAGCTAGCAATAAAACACAAAAACCCAGCCTTTATACGGAGCTGAAAAAAGCGACCCATACAAGGTACCCACCACATTTACACTAACCAAGCGCATTGTATACCTAAGGGGACAGGCGGTGTAGATGTGCTGATTCTACGTACTACAGCATGAAGGAATTTAATGTTAGGTTTTGGTGGTTTTTCTCGAGTGCAATAAGAGTTCGACAGGATGGAGATCTCTAGCCTTCTTCAGCACACTGCCTTTCGTCATCTGATTTCTCCTGCGTCCGCAACTATTTTTTCTGCCCTGCTTAATTAACCTTTGACATGACTTAAAAGGCTTCTTTTGCTGCTGTGGGGTCCACATCAAACTGCACAAATCCTATTCCTTCCACTCTTAGATTCAACATTATAAATCTATATACTGCGAACAGCTAAAGCCCGCCGTTTACTGTGTGTTTGTTTTCGGGCTGTCAGGCACCTTGAACCCTGATCACGCTGCACCCAGAAAACCCAAGTCTGCATGAAAGGAAACCATGACACCCCCACTTGAGTGCTCGGACCATCAAACGGATCAAAGGCACGGTGTGACTAACTATATACCCACCATCCACAGGTGGCCACCTCATTCACCCTCCACTGACGACTCCAGTCACCCATATTCTAGTACGATACCCGCACTTTAAACGCTCCATCCTCCCCTCCGGTGATACCCACTAACACACGGAACAGCAACTCTCCTACACTGATAACACACTGCACCAAATACACCGACACCTCATCCAACAACAGGACGAACCATGTGGCCAGATTATTTCCCTCCCTGTGAAGATATTGATCAGCCCAATCCCCTTCCGTCATCTTCTGATAAAATTCCCATTAAACGGCGACTCTATCTCGACCTCTTATGCCTTTCTAACTCCTCATCCACACCTGCTTCTCCGACTGGCCTCTGTTTGACACATATCAGCTT